ATCCAATCCAATCCAATCCAATCTAGCCAATCTGTCCTTCCATCCACCATCATCCAACCACTCATTATGTGGTCATACGATCTGTGTGATAACTGAATATGACTAGTTACTGCAACGTTACCATTAACATCTGATTTCCTTGACACTCATTTAGTTCCATCGATGTGTCATCAGGATGGCTTCCTTCACTGGGCACAAATATCCGATGGAATGTATATCGATATTTGTAGATCAGAGYACCGAGAATTACTACAAGCACTATCCCCAGAGAACTGGAAACTATGATGATTAGAGTTGAATTATCTGAAAAACAAATGAAAAAATCAAATAAATAAAAAAATTTTTAAGTATTTTTGTACTCGAATGTTTCTGCCTTCTTTTAGCTATGTTTTCTCTAAATTCGCAATTTACACTTGTCTGAAATTGTCAAGGAGAAATTAAAAACCTTTGTTATGATATTCTTGTTTTATTGCCCCGTTTCGAATTCCAAATTACCGCTGCGTTTCTTGATTACAGACTCATTTGCACAGGGTTAGCCTCGGATTTGTGCAGGATATTCACGTGTTCCAGTCAAGGKCCGTCGAGTTTCAAAATGTTTGTATTGTTAAAGTTGTGCATTCTTTACTTTACCGTTGGTATTYGTGAATATTTAAACACTGATGCGAGGCTAACCCCGTGCAAATGAGTCTGTAATCAAGGAAAACAGCGGTAAAAACAGCGGTAATTTGGAATTCGAAACTGGTCTATTGCAGGGGTTTATGGAATTCATTTTTTTAAGGAGCTTAATGAGGATTGCCGAACCTAATTAACTAAATAACCTATTTTTTTAAGAACGGAAGCTTTAAGAGTATCAACGAAGAACAAGCTACAATGACAACATGAAGCCGGAAAAAGAGGAAAATGGACAACAAGAAGTTAGTTATAGGTTTTACTGCGCATGTCTTTACGATWAGAGCAGTCCTGCCTTTTTCGCGTAATTGCCAGGCGAAAGCCGTATAGCCGTATACCAAAAGAAGTAAATATATGTTATTTACCGGCCAGGAGGTCCGGATAGGGAAAAACTGTGCCCGAGGTCTTGAATATACGAAGTTATTTTAATAAGGGAAGTCACGTGATCATGTCATGCAAAGGGCCTATTATACTGTCATCATCGTTATCATCCGTTTTGTCATCGATGCTTACGCCCCCTAATATCTTACCATCACAACTGGTCTTTCCAGGACACAAGGTGGTTTTCACTTCATAAGAAGCTGTGCCTCCCACCGGCACGTTATTGATTGATGGATAAATAAGAATTCTTTCTTGCTTAGCACCATGGCAACTAACTCCATATTCACTACCAACTTTATCCGTGGTAAGAGACATTTCACAAGGGAGAAAGTGGAGCTCTTTTGGATGTGTAGAAGGAGAATATTGAACAGACAATGGGATGTCAGAACCAGGGTTTCCTGGATCAGAGACTGGATTTTGGAACTTGTCTTTTAGAGCGACTTTGAATGTAAATGCTCCACTTCGTTTGATATTAGGTTGTAAGTCTTTTAGTGAGCTCTTTATCGAGTCAACTGGATCTAATAATAGAAATACAAAATCAAAAAAGATAAATTTGTATGTATATAATGTTTATGATAATTGCAATAAAATGCGTGCTCTGTAGCTGTTACGTCAATTACGGCTTTTAATTATATAACTCAACACAGATCATGAGGAAATGACGTCAGCACTAAAGCACATGTGTGGTCTTCGGTATAAAACCATAACAATGGATTAATAAATTTGTATGTATATTATTTAACGTTTGCGTATCCTATCAAACTTAAAACACCTAATATGACCGTGATATCTTGCAGATAAACTGAATTATTGCCAAGGTTTACAATCGCTATAATAAATTAATATTTTCAAATAAAGTAATAATTAATTTGATTAATTAATTTATTATTATTGTATAAATAAAGTAATAATTAATTATTATTTTATAAATAAAGTAATAATTAATCTACAAGTTATTAAGAGACATTTACAATGAGATTATATGGAATAGTTTCGTAAATTTTGTTTAAAAATATATTTACATTCACCAAAAAATGATACCTACATTGTATACGTAGCTTTGTCGGAGACCATTCTACGATTCTATTGCTCAGCGTCACACCAACACGTAAAAGAGCATGCGCGGGAAATTCAGGAATATAACACGTGACCKTTGAGTTATTACAGATTCCTTTCCGAGTTCTTTTTGTTCCGTTAGCAGTCTGGAACCTAACGAAAAATGTCATCCACTTCTCACAGGTAATGCCGCTGACCTTGATAGCGAGCTGTTCAGACGGGGAAGCGATCTTTGGAGAAATGCCAGTYACCTTGAAAGGCTCTAAAAGAGATAGTCAAAAGGAGTTAATATATAAAGCAAAACATACAACCAAGATAATATGAACTAAGAGAAGGAATCCCCGTGCCCCATAAAGTGCACTCTTTGATGCTATTTTCAGAATCATTGATGCTATTTTTAACTCGTTACCGTACCCRCGCAACGATCATGCTTCCCTTTAATGCCTCGTTTTAGGACACRAAAAGCGCATTATTTCGCTACGTCCACGACAAAAACACAGGCTTTTGTTTACTGCAAGACTGGAAGCCGCCTACCCTAAAGAAATCAACCAATCAGGTTCTTCGCTCAAAATATCTCCAAGCTAAAAATAGCATCAAACTGGCTGACAAGGCTATATAGGTAGGATTCCTTCTCTTAGTTCATATTCTCTTGATACAACTTTAGAGGGAAGATTTCGTCTGTTTTTCTGTCYGTTATTGTTATTGTCGTTCGATCACCCATTCGAAGGCCCGGTCCTTACATTTCGACGTTCCTGCCAAAGTCTACCGTTTAAAGTCTTTACTTTAATTTCATTACCTTAGTGTCTATATTACGAATACAGCCGTCGTTATTCGGAGTAATACTTCAGTTTAGGATGCATTGTAAATTCACACACGCACCCTCTAGCGATTGTTTCTGTCGCGACGAAGTAGGTTTTGGTGGACGTCAATCAAGGCGTTTCCATGACGTACCCTTGAAAGCTTTGTGTTTTCCGACAATGTTATGGAAACCCTACCTTTGATTGACGTCCACCAAAAACTCTATTTTGTCGCGATAGGGAATTGTACGATTTCGCGCGTGCGATTGAGAAGCACTGTAATATTTTCTTAGGGAATCAAGAGTTGTGACACAAGTAGKACACTGATCGTCTGTCACCTGTGGGTCTCAGATTCGTTTCCTGAACTCGCCACGTTCAGTGGATWGAGCTTTTCAAGTCTCTCCCTTGTATGTTCAGTCCGAGTTCTCTGAATTCCTGAATTTTTCCACAAACACAGCACTCTAGATTATAATCCATCAGAGTATCAAACATGGAAAACTGTTTTTGATTTGTTAAATCAACTAACTTACCGTGAAGTCGAAGTTGTTTCTTTGCTTTAAAAAGCTTCCCGTCYACTTCCAGATGTAACACGGCTTTGTCAATCTGTCTCATCGGTGGGGTATTACAAAACAACATAGAGCCTTTTACTYCTGCTGGCATCGATATATCATTGAATCGACATTGAATGGTTGAATTTGGGTTCAGTTGACCAGCAGTTGCAACGCTTAAGGTTGTTACTGAACGTATTGGCACAATTGCAGGTTGGAATCCAGTAATTTCAACAGCTAAAAAATAAAGCAATTGAAAAATTCAAAACCCTGAATTAAGGTGGCTGACTACTTTGGTAAATAATAAACAGAAAATTGATAAATGAAACTTYYTTAACCTGAAATTTAATGCTGATTTCAAAATTGCAAAGAAAAATGGGGTGTCCCGAGCTTGTTTTTGAAATAATCATTCCAGAATGACATGCGTTTGTACAATTTTGGAAAAAATAGAAAAAATCAAGCTCTGTACAAAAAAATCATTAAACCGAAACTAAGGATGAAACATGAGCAATTTTCTCCGAACACGTAACTTACACTATATTTCAATAATACTGAAAAAAGTTGTTTTAATAAACTATTGTAGACAATGAAAAAACTTCTTTTTGTTCAGGTTATTTGTAAAAAATGGGCACAAAACAGAGCAATTTTTTTAACATTGTTCTAATAAACAGAGTTGTATTAAACTTTGTAAAATAATGGGATATTACCTGTTATTCCGGRAAATAAGAAAAAAAGTATAGAGTCCCGTGCAAAATGTGAGGGTTTTGCCTTCTTGAATTTCAAAACGTGTATAGTTCTTCGATAAAATCGCGAAAATTATTCAGCCGTCTTTGAGAGCGCGCACATCGTGGGCTCAAATCGAACGTTCGAAAGTAGTCAGCCACCTTAATACCATTGCCAATAACTTACACTTATAAAATTGAAAATAACATGGCCAGATATTGCTAATAGAATTGCAAAATTTAACTTACCAGATGTATAAGAAAGTAAGACTAATACTATAACGACCACAGCTCTCACCAAGTTCATTGCGGGACTGGAGTGGTTCTTTACGATGCCACACAATTCACTACCTTAGAAAGTTCAAAGAACGCAAAGAAAATTCAAAATATGAGACAACAGGCATTGTTAGGAGGTCGGCATATGCCAAACTAAGTCACTATTGCTGTTATTAGCAACTAGTGAAAATTGGTATATAATAAGTACATAATATTAAGGCATCGCTGGGTCCTTACCCCGCGATGGGGAATGGCAATATATAACTCGCTTTATAGGCGAACTAAGGAATTTTTCCAAAAAAAGGGGGGTACAAACCTAGGCAATACACGGCGACATAAGGCAATCTTAGGCAATACTAGGCAATATGAGGCGACATAAGACAATTTAAGGCGATCTAAGTAAATTACAAACATATATCACAATGGGCTATACTAAGGCAGACAAGGGGGATAAGGTGATTTAAGGCGACTAACGCAGGGTAAAGACCCAGATAAAAAAAAAAAAGAAAAAGAAAAAGGACCTTGCATTACTTAAATATTACAGCTTGAATAGTACAATGATCAACCAAAAAAATCAAGTAAAAATGAACTTACCTTTTGCTGTATTGGCTTCTATCAGTGAAGGACATGTTTTTACCGAATGCTAGAAGATAATCCAAGATTGCTGTGCAATATTTACATAAATAACTCAAATCAAAAGAACAAGGTCAAGCGAATACGTCATTAATTTCTGCTGCGAAGTAGTTGCTTGTTGTCAGGGAAAAAAGCGGATAATAAAGAGATATGTTCGTACTTGCAGAAGGTGTCGTAAAAGGATTAATGCGCCTTCTTACTGAAGACACTTTTTTTTAAAATCTCTTACGTTCAAGATCCGCATTGGGATTTTTGTTATATGTGATTACATAGATTTTCTGGTATTTCAAGTGAACAAAGAATGTGCAGTAAAGTTTATTGGGGGCGTGATGAAACAAGAGTCTGACAACGAAAACTTGAAAATCATTTTCCTTTGTGRAAAAAGAAAAGCCAAAACGTCAAGCAAAGACGTCATAGCTGTTTCTTGTTGTTGCAAAACATATATATATATATATGTTTGTACTTGTGGAAGAGTGACAAGATAATTAGTCTGCTTAAACACCACTTTTTATTGAAAAAAGAAAAAACTATATAATTTGATARGGTAACCAGATTTACACATAGTAATTTTCATCCAGGCCTTTTTCTTGAAAACTTTAAGGTTCAAAATCTATTGGAAATTTGTTATTTGAAATTTGTTAACAAAGTGCAGTAACGTTAATGCTGATATGAGAACTTCATTTGACGAAAACTAGAGAAATACTCTCCTTTGCTTTGTTCATTGTTGACTTTTGGATAGTTAAATCCTGGTGTATTCTGCGATGAGAACTTTCGTAAGGAATTTTGAAGATTAAGCCAGAACTCGCAGATGCTCTTAAGCTCTTCATCCATGCTGAAACCCATCAAAGATTCCAATCAAGGGAATGTTGATTTAGTTTGACCCTTACAAGCATATGTACGTCAAGCTCACTTGTTTAAACACGTAGACAAAAATAGCTAACAAAACTTTGCTATTTTCTAGCTTATCTTCTGGTGGTAAGAAAATGGTGAATCGATTCGGTGCATGAGACGGGCAGGCTTGCTCCCTTTGCTGTACTGAATATGAACATTATTTTTTACGTCTGCTGTGCAGTGTTATCCCTGGTAAGTGGCATAGGTCATTTATTTTTTCATTTATTAATATTTTTTGTAGTAAATGTTTATAGATTAATTATGTTTGATTTTCTGCTTTTTGCTGATAAGCGAAAGGAATTGAAAARGGATGTTGTCCCATTTCAGACCACACGACTATTCCCTTGGCAAATGTATAAGCAATACACCCATTTAGCTTCGCCCAATATTGTCCCACTATAGACATGGCCAATCCCTTCAGAACATTGCATAGGCAATAGACCTATTAAGCGTAGTTCAAATCTGCCCCATTTTAGACCACATAACTATAGTCTTGCCTGAGCAACGCATACGCAATACGCCGCAACATGATCCTAATACTTTTCAAGCAGGTTTTAAATTCAAAAAATAGTAGACTATGTTGTGTAAGCCTAGGTCAGTGGTGGACTTGGAAATTGAATGGACTATAAACTAATTACAATTTTGAGACGACAATACCGAATATATTTTCTTCCAACGCYGTCWATATTTYGTGGTATTGTTGTCTCAAAATCGTAATTAGCTTTGTATCGTGATTCTAAAGAATTTAACACACAAAAAAGAAAAAAAAACCTGACCGATTTTCTATGATTAAAAGCGAAATTCTCCTTACGAGCGCGCGCTATGGCGCAAGCAACAAGCGTAATTTTTAACGCACTCGCAATAAAGCTTTCCTTTTCGTCGCGCTTTAGCCAATCAGAAACCTTAATTTTGAAACGACAAAAATTGTTTCAAAAATATAAGAAACTATTTAGTGAATCGCGRTATAACAYCCCTCCTTCCCTCTCTCTYGATGTCTTCAGTTCACTASACCGTTYCCTATTAASGTTAAAAATTTTAAAGAAAGTAATTCTAAAACTGAGTTTATGTTAAGGCCGATTTAGACGGTACGATTTTTGCCTACAACTATCGTATACAACACGCTCGCGCCATCCTACAACTCGAGTCKTAGCGTGTAAATCAAGCCTACAACTCGCCTACGACAGACGCGTACAACACGAAAAAAGTTGTAGGGTTTTTAAACATGTTTTAAAAAGCTACAACAATCGTAGKTGTCATGACGCGAGCGTGTCGTATACGATAGTTGTAGGCGAAAATCGTACCGTCTAAATCGACCCATTCAATGGTCATGTTTTTACAGCGCGATGTTTTATATGCTTCAAAAGTTTTTCGAATTTTCAAGCAGCGTCATAACTTTTTTTCTCCCCAAGACTTTCCATCCAAATTTATACACAGGCTGCATTAGTACTAGCTGAAAAGATTATAAAAATCTCAAAAAATTGTACCTGAAGAAGAGGAGAAAAAAAGCCAAAAACTAAAAATAGCATTGTTTGATTTTTGGCCGTAATAGGCTAAACATTCAAAAATCTTGAAATAAAATGCACTGTTAGAATCTAGGATAATCAAAGCACATTATCCTAGTGAAAATCATGTGAAATTGGCGCACTAGTGTTGCGAAGCGAGCGAGAATAAAATTGCCCAAAATTCGCTCTGAATTAGGTCAGCACAAAGGTAGTTTTTTTAGGTTTGCATGCCGCATAGTAACTCATAACAACGCAAGAAAAACAAAAAACAAAAAAAACTAAGGATTAAAAAAACTGAGGACTTTTGAAGTTGCAAAACAATAATATACAATTATCTTCCACATATTGTCTTTAAGTTTATATGCTAGAACAGATTGCGAGAATATCTTAGTGATCTGGAAATCGATAAAATAATAACTATTTTTTGGGGGGCGGTACGATAAATATTTACACATTGTGAATAAACATTTGCGCATTAAAATGTTTGCCATAATCAAATAATTAATAACCAATGTACACAAACACAAAACTCTAGCACAAAGCATGATGGGAAACCGAGCTCGAGTACTTACGATTTTTCAGCTTCTCTAAAAATTCCTCTGGCAATTTCTACAATTTTCTTATACTCTTAGCGAAGTTATTGACACTTGTCTCTTTATATTTAATATTCTTAATCGTATTTATACTTTATCCATTTATTTATTTGTCTTGATATATATAGTTTTATTAGTTTTTTTATAATATAGATATATAGGGAGGTCCACAGGTTTATCAGTCTTCGGACGGTAATGTGTTTAGCCTCGTTAAATAAAGTTATTATTATGTTGTGCATTCTTTACTTTACCGTTAGTATTTTTGAATATATTTAGACACTGATTCGAGGCTAACCATGAGTAAAAATAATGAATATTTAATCAAGGAACACGGTGGTAATTTGGAACTCGAAAATTCCCCATTTTCCATACATAGGTTTACTGGTCAAACACAAAGCATTCCATCGAAGTTGCAAGGTTCAAATTTGAATAACCTTTGAAAGTACCTTGGCGCCTCGCTTGAGCGCTTTGTGTTTGACCCAATGAACCAATGTATAGAAAATGGTGAATGGTCTATTTGAATATCAAAAATCACAAAATCACTACGTGTATTTGTATACAAATACATAGCATAGAATGGTCAAAATAGGCACTTGGGTTTTATTTGCTTAGTTACCTTTTTGATGTGTAAATTCTCGTCGTTCCCTCATCATGTTGATCACAATGATAACGTCGATGCAGGTCAATCAAAGCAGTCGATCCGGGCATCTATAATGAAAATACGATAAGATCAAGTAAAACTATTCTACAAATAGTTCACAGCTGAAGGATTATGCTAATGAGGCCTTTTGACTTCGTAACAAAACATGATCCGAAAAAGGTTTCAAAAAAGCGACGAAGAGTTTCGATTACGGTCGATGACTTCCGATGAAACTTTCGCAGCTAATTCATGATCATCCTAAATAACTCCTTTTTTTTTCCTCAAATTTTATATATGAGGTTCTTTTAGTAGAAAAGGAAGGCTGTTGTTTTTTGTGTTTTTTTGTGTTTTTTTGTGTTTTTTTTTTCTTCTTTCTTTCTTTTTTTGGAAAAATATTCATGCGAATTCATTTCGGAGATGGAGGTGGAAGTAGAGGTGGAGGTGGAGGTGGAGGTGGAGGTGGAGGTGGAGGTGGAGGTGGAGGTGGAACCTTGTAAGTCAATCACAGAGGGATTGGGAGATGTTTTGCTTTCCAACTTTGAGGTGTAGGGGAGTAGGTTCGTTGCGTCCTGACCTTTTCCCTTTATAACGAAACTGCGCATAAATATAACTTATCGATGACTTAGACAACGGTATTTTTTTGATTTTTCTGCGGTGTTTTTTATTCTCGTTAGGTGGGTTTCACTGCAGGGCAATTTCCCAGTGGAAACGCATCTTTCACAACAATCAACGAACTGCGGGATGTTCTACGAAASTCAAGCAATATCCTACTGACGCAAATAAAAGCAGTGCCAGGAAACCTCTACGAGGCTCAAGCAATTTTTGGCTCCTTGAATGTGTCGCTGCAGTTTCCATGGCCCTTGAGCGGAAATTGTACAATTACGCTCGACCCAAACGTTGGACACTCAATACCCAACTTTGAAGCATTCAGAAACAGAATCCAATCTCAACTTGGTGTTCATTCTACGTTTCCTTTGTTGAGAGAAATAGGGATTGGAAACTTTGGTCTATCCTTGAATGCTCTTGAGCTCAAGTTGCAAGACAGAGATGTGAAAGAAGTTCGTGCTAGGGTGAGTATCCCAGGATGGGATGTTTTTACTTTGTTCTACTTCAAAGTATTGAATCCCCAAATAGTTATCACCTTTCAACCACGACCTCAGAAGTTACTTGCAGTCAAATCTTTAGGGAATATCGTAAGCCTTGCTTCAATGGATAGTACGCATGCTCTTCCGGTAGAGTTTATTTTGCCGGATATAACAACTGAGCCTTTGCAAGTAAAAGCTMATAATCCCAACGCCGTTACCTCTTACAAACACATAATGAAATTCCTGACGATATCACGAGGTCTGAACATTCCAGATATGGTCTGGAAAGCTTTRCCAAAAATGAAAATCACAAATCTGGATTTGACTATTGAACCCGGACTGTCAAATATCTCCAACGTCGTTTTTGAAGCTGTTGCGAATGAGGCATGGAATATTGGCGGGGACTTCACCTTGAATGATGCTGAACTGAAAATCATGAAGTCTGATGTTAAATTTTCAGCTACAGCAAGAATAGGGAAGCAGTTCGTGCGCTTGCGATATGATAATAACCATGGGAATGCACTTCAGCTTGATGATAAAATAGTTTTAAGGGATTTGGAAGAAATGACAAAATACATTTTGAGAAAAACCGTGGCCAGATCMCTTGTTTCTCTCCCAGATTTCTCTTACGTGAAGATATATGGTTCCAATTTAGGTGGACGCTTAGAAAGTTTTGATATCGCATTTTCAAATACGCCCAAAAATGTAGTAAACATTTCAATGGTCTTCAAACTTACAAAGGCGTGGAGCATTTTTAACAACAATCTTTTGGCCACTAGCGTCCAAGACACAGCTGTCAACTTGCAGATTACCTCTCTGAATGAAAATCCAAACGTTAACGTAAGTATCACAGGAACAATTGTTCTTGGCAATCCAAAATTCCTCGAATATCCGTTCTTTATTCAGATCCCTCACAGGATTCAGCCTTTAACTGTCAGTTTATTGCCAGGAAGAGTACTCCAAGTAAATTTCGCAAATGTTGTGAAGATCGAAGGTATTGCTAATCTTCCAGATRTTTTCAAGGATATACTTTCTAAAGCTAATTATGTTGACGTAACTAAGTTGGAACTTGAATTCCCATCAAATTTTATCTCCGTTCCAGTGGTAAGTGGTTTCGAGCTTCATTCGTTCGAGACATGGGACCTGAATTATGTTCGCATTTCAAAWGCATCACTTTACTATTCTAACAACCACTATACACTGAGTGGACAACTGGAGTTCCTTGGGGTTTCGACAAATGCCCGGTTGAGTTGGCCAACAAATACAAACCCAGTCATTACAATATCCGACGACAAAATTAATCTAAAAGACCATATCAGTACATTCGCAAATAGACTATCAAAGTTACTCAACGGTGAAGATCTAAGATTGAATCTAAAGAGAGTAGGACTGGAGAACATTAAGGATTGTACTATACTATCAATCTCTGTTATCCTTGCGCAGAATTTTCGCTCAGTGAAGCAACTGAAGATGACAGCAGCTCTTCCCAAATACTCCTGGAAACTTTTTGAGGAYTTTTTTGTTGCTCAAGATATTACAATAACACTCGATGTCATCGTGGGCAGGTCTATTGCCATGACAATTGAAGGAAACATAAACCTGGTCTCGGGAGCAATGAAGGTTCCTTTCCAAATGAACATTCCGACATCATCGATTCAAAACATCACCATTGCTCTTGGAAAAGGTACTAAAGCAGTTAWAGGAAGGTTTCAAGATATCGAAGGATTTCTCCAGTCATCGACAGGCATAAGGTTTCCAGTTATCCTAGGTTCTTATCTACCCGAAMTTCATTTGAATAAACTCGAAATTGCGTTCACAAACTCTTTAAGAAAAATGAAAGYCATGGCATTACATGCAAAGTGTCCAAGAAGATGGAATGTGGGTGGTCTTGGTATTTTGTACGTAGACGCCTTGCAGCTGAACATCACCGATAAATTGTACGATGTATACGGTAACTTTAGCATCGGTGGAATTGCATTTGATGTTCAGTTTGATTCCAATGCCTTCCAGAAACCAATGTTTCGATTGCTAAAGTCAGTAACTTTCTTAGGAGTTTCAAGGTTTATTACAGAAACRTTTCGTCAAATACTACCGAAAATCAAACCACCTAATGGGAACTTACTTGGCCTTTCAGATACAAAGTTTGAAATTCAACAAGCTAATCTGTACTTATCCAAGGATCTTAAAAGGTTAACTGGCATYGAGATTGAAATACATTTTCTGCAAGATTGGTCTTTCTTCAGTAAATTCTTTACAATGAAGCATGTCTCTTTAAGAATCAAGGCAACCGAGTTTTACGATATAAAAGTTGACTATGACATTACAATCTACGGAATAATGGAACTTRCACGAAACGGAAGAAAAGTCTCTTTCCCTTTGAAGTGCGATTTGAAGAAAACTGTATCACTTTCGGTTGCTTTTGAATTGACGACTCCAGTCACCATTAAGATGTCCGATGTTTTATTAATGCCGTTGGTTGGGAAAATAATACCAAATGGTCTAATAAATCCCGTATCTGATTTGATAGGCCCAATTCGCATCAATGCTTTTCATGCACAGTTCAGGTCTGGGGATGCAACATCACTTAAATCTCTTAACATGTCAACAACTGCACTCAATTCCTGGAACATTCCTGGACTACCTGTAACTTTTCAAGATATGACCTTCGAAATTTGGTACTTACCGTACAAGTTTAAAGCTCAATTGTTTGGAAAAATAACGATATTTAAGTATCCTCTTCCCTTTCGAATTCCATTTCAATATTCCTCRAGACAACGCTTGGCAAGACTACAGAGATTTGTGCCTATACAATTTCTATTCAGAGGAATACCAGGATTTAAAGATTTTCCCCGTGGCTTGAGCTTAGACGAAATAGCGAACCTTTTACTACCAACGCCAAACTTTGATCTGAAGTCCTTGCTTCCAGATGAATTTTCAAGGTACAGCATGACATTTGAAAAATTCAATCTGCGGATGGTACCTCCATTGACAAGATTTACCATTGATGGATTCGACACTAAATTTCACCTTCTTTCCCGGGTAAACTTGATAAAGAATTGGCTTGCAATAGAAAGGCTCACAGTAGATCTTGATGTGCAGATCAAAGGAGGTTTACAAGTTTCAGGGTTTATAAATTGCTTGGTACGATTTGGATCTTCCAGTAATGGCTTTAGCGTATGGTCGTCTATAGTAATCCCAACGCCTCCGTCCTCAGATTGGACCCTAAAAATCATTCCGGACTCAAGCACCAAATTAACGCTTGCTAAGGCAGCATCAATTCTTTTTGGTGGAATTGATATCAAATCCTTTTTCCCGTCGAAATGGCTCGCCAAGGTAACCGATATACAACTAACAGATTTGGAACTCACTTTTAGCCTTAAACCAACTTCACGAGTTGAACGAGTCAAGTGCTTTCTTCAGTCGGATTTGAGCGATATTGACCTTCCGCTTAAACTATCGATAAGAAATGTCAAATTGTACATGGATGTTATTTTTCCTTTTGATGCGGTCCATAGAAAAGTTAATGCACATTTAGAATTGTTAACCAAAATTGGAAAAGAGACAATTCAGACATCCCTGTATATCAAACCAAAGATGTTTTACTTGGAAGCAAAAAGTGTATTGAACAGCGGCTTGGATATTGAAGATCTCGCAGGTTTAGTTGGAAGTGGAGAGCTTCTTAGGCTAATACCGAAAGGCTTTTTCAAAGCTAAATCCCTTACGCTTAATAAACTTAACATGACTTTCCGAAAACCCGACTTTCAATTGCAAGATATTTATATACTATGTGATCTCAATGGTTTTGATGCCGGCTTTAGCTTTCCGCTGCCATTGCCTGATCGGCTGAAGAACATGTTCCGCGCCAAACTAAAGGTCTCCAAATTGGAACTTCAAAAAAAAAGAAGTACTTGGTCCATAAATGCAAATATCATGGCCTCCATCAGCGGTATACAAAGAAAAATAGACGCTGGGCTTCAAAATCTTGAGGCCGGGTTAAGGTTTTCTTCTGATGACAAGCATGTAGCACTAGAGATAAAGAAAAAGATTTTGGATTTAAAAATTGGTGCTAGACTTGGAGGAATAGACTTGGATCTTCGCATTCAATTTCACAAGCCTAAGATACTTTTTCCCTACGATGATGTGGTAAAAATCAGCGCTGACATAGACGTCTCAGGGTTTCAAAAGCTAAACTGGCTTTTACCTTTTAACGTATTTGACGATGAGGTAAAGATGGCAGTTGTAATTCATCCTGATGACGAAAGACCTCTGAGGCTTCAGATGAAAACTCTTCCAATTCTTGAAAACATYATCCCTTGTAAAAAGCTTGGAGATGGAGAATTTAAATGTGACTTTACTTGGCTTTGCAACCCAGATTCCTACGTGTATCTGAAGTCACCGTCGTTTTCCTATACCGATGATGGCTTCGAGTCCAGCGTTGATGTGCAAGGCATAGACAAGCTTTGCATTCCTGTCACACCGCGGTTTCTTTGGAAATTTATAGAAAAGATTCCAATACTTGGTCGTTTGTTTGCAAAGAATTTTCCTTTGTGGCCTCCGCCTAACATCAAAAAACTCTTGAGAAAAATAAATATAGACACAAATAACCTTCCAAGAGGAATGGAGCAGTTTCTGAACCCAAAGTTTCCAGATTCAATATTGACGTCAGTCACTTTACCGCACAATGGTCCAATTCAGTTGTCTCTTAAGGTTGCTAATGGAGAATCCCTTATCGTCCCAAACGTGCTGAGCTTTCCATTTTTTATGAGTGGTGTGSTTTTTCGAGAATTTACAATTGGAACTTTCTTTAACTTTCCGTTTGTAAACATCGACATTGAGGTTTATATTTGGAATTTACCGTTTCTAATTCCTTTGTCTCACCTACCGAAACAAAACCCGCTCCTTGTCAACGCTATGGATTTCGAAACACGAATCATCTGTAAGGATTGCTATTTTGTGATATTTGGGATTTATCCAATCCCAATATTTGCAGCTCCTTTTCATTTGAGTTTCCCTCTTTTGAACGACGTCCAACCTACAGTGACCGTGTACCAYAAACGACCTGGATTCAAGGATTTTGTAGTGTTCGCTAATTTGCTAAATGGACTCTTCAAATTCTTCACAGACAAAGATTATCTTCTGTCAATCAACGATTTCGGTGGCGTTAACGCAAGCAAGGATTTGTTAGTCGTGAARTTGAATCATGAAAACTACAAGACGATGGTACAGTTACCAAAATATATGGGACAAACACAATTGGTGCTTGACATTCCCCCACTTGATTCAAAGAGCTTCCTCATTGGTTACTTAAACTATTTTAAGACGTTTAAACTTAAATGGCTTTTAAAGATTGTGCCATTAAAGTACAGAATCGTAGATGCAGGAATAAACATCGGTGCTTTCAACCTTGCCTCTCTCAAATTTGCAGCATCCACACCAGATGAACTTAAAGATAACAAACACTTGTGGAAATATCCAGTTGTTGCTACTGGGGATGATGCTCTTGTACTTGCATCCTTGGATACGCTTTTGTYGTCTCTGAATTTAAAAATAAAAGCAAAAAGTATGATAGACGCAGACCTCAACTTTACTTTGGAAGCTGGATTCACAGATGTTGTAAAGTTAGACCTTGAGGCCAGAGCAATGATTAATCTAAAGGACATGTCGAACCCACTGCTTCTTGGAGGGCAATGTTCTCTTTATCTTTTTGGTACAAAGCTATTAACCGGAAGCGCCTACGTTTCTGTAAGAGAAATCCTTGTTTCAGGGCAGCTAAAATTCAACTTTCTTGGCCTGCTGAAGTTTAATGGATTCGTGAAGGCATCTTTCCGTTCTGGGGAGTTTCTTCTTTCTAGTAAAGTTGGTGTAGAGTTTGTAGGCATCAAATTTTTCGATAGCTACTTACGCATCCAGAATTCATTGCGAACAACGGAAGTCCTTGCAAAGACAAACTTCATGGGCTCGTCACTTCAATTAGAAATAATAAGGAATGGGTTGTCCTTTAAATTGAAAGGAAGCGCACTAATAAACATTGGAGTGAACATTGACCTTGGTGATCTCAAATTATTCGGGAAAAACATTGGAAGAATTAAACTGAATGCTGGTGTTCTTGTCGACTTGAAAATATCCTTACCAGGAAAGAGTTCCTTGCTAATTTCGTTTCATTTTATTGGGGAGAAAATCTCGTTGCCAGAACTCGAAGTCGATACGAAAGATTGCAGACCAGATAGAATACCAAGATTAGTTTTAAACTGGCTCAAAGACAAAGCGCTATCGTTAATCAAAAGCCTTTTCTCGCTAAATCCTGAAAAATATTTGAAAGCACTTATGGATGGGGTCATCAAGATTGGTAAAGCTGCCATTAAGATTGTGAAAGATCTTTTGAAAGCAGGTCATAAATTCATTGGCAGCGTTGCCAAGGAGATTGGCAGACTTGCAAATAAAGTGGCAAATGCTGCAAAAGAAGTCGCCAAAGTTGCTGAAAAAGCCAAAAAGGTTGCAATAAAAGCTGCGAAAGCTTTAAGAGAAACAGCAGAAAAAGCAGTAAAGAAGGCCAAGGAAACGGTCAAAGCCGTTGGTAACGTCTTACGAGACGTTAACCAAAAACTCGGGCGAATAAGGGAAAACTTGTCTAATACCATCAGAAAGGTAGTGAGACTAGAAAATGTGGTAAAGCAAGCAAAGAAAATTGTAAAAGCCATTGCAGAGGGCATTAAGAACGTTGCCAGAAATATCGAAAGAATAGCCAAGAAGATATTTGACGAAATAGCCAGAGGAATTCGTAACGCGCTTGGAAAAATAAAGAAAGTTTTTCGCTGGTTTGGCAAGCGTTCACTTTACTATCGACGAGATGTTTTGACAAGCGAGAAGAGTTATCTTGAGCGTAGAAAAGGCGAACTGGAAGGGAAGCAAAGTAACACAATAACTAAACTTCGAGCTCAAGAAAGGGAACTAAAACGCAACAAAGACTTAGAAGCAATGCAAAGAGCAACGAAAAACAAAGCGTTGAAAGAATCCGAAACCGCAAATGAAAATCTTCAAAAAGCAATTAGGGATGATATTGAAAAAACAGCGTTTGTAGAAGATCTCGAAAACAAAGGCAAATGCATCACCGGTGAAAACAACTGTCATCCAAATGCTACATGTTTACGCACGGGCGAACGCGGAGAGTCATTTAAGTGCATTTGCAGAAGTGGATGGATAGGAGATGGCATAAGCTGTTACACACCAATAAGAGAGGTATCAATCATTGTAGATGAGGCAAGCGCAGTTGGGGCTCCTGTAAATATTGCCGCTTTTACTCTCTCAGGGATCAACGTGGAATACAAGTTTTCATTTCAGGACACTTACAACAGTTCTTCTTACCAAACCTATATTTTCAACAAACCGGGTATCTACAAAGTTGGTGTATTTGCCCGAAATACAATAAGCAATGCATCTGATGAAACAAGTGTTGTTATACAAGAACCGGCTTCAAACATAAAACTGATGATAAATGGAGATAGACGGCCGTGTCGTCCACTTGAAATTGTACCATCATCAGGAGGTACTAATGTTACATTTGATATTATATTTGGAGATAACACAACATCATACAATATAACAAAGTCAATAACACACTACTTTGGTTTATCGGGAATATATAAAATGACTGTTATCGCGCGAAACCTCGTTAGCTCTGTCAACAGTACCTATATTTTGAAAATCTGGGGAACGCCTTGTGACCAAATGTACTGCGATATTTCTGGACTTGAGAGGAAATGGGAGGGAAAACCACTTCAAGATATTGCAAATCTAGCTTGGGAAATGACTAAGTCATCAAAAGATTTCATCACTTACAGCGACCCTCCTGCATGGAAGTATTTTGCAACTCTAAACCCTCTATCGACTAAGAACTTGAATAAGCCATATAGCAAAGTTGTAAACCAGAAAAGGATTTATTCCATCAACGGTTCCGAGGTAGATATGGCTTTGGTTTATGCTGGTATACTTGCTTCGTTAATGAAAGATGCTGATTCCGATGTTGGATCAGTCAGATATCAATGCAAAAAAATCAGAAATGTAACTGTTGTTCAGCTGCTTGAAGGATTGTTAGAAATCCAAGAAAATGACATTCTCAATTTTTGGCGGGCAAATATGGGTAATGATTATTATTGTAATCAAATAGTATTGCGAGAGGCAAGGATAATTGGTTCAGTAGATGGGTATCTTATTGGCGGTATGGTAGACAATAGCACGTTGAAGCTATCTGATGTCATTTACAACTACTATTGCCCGAATCTCGCAAATGCAATAACGCTACCATTTGTTTCCAAAAACCGGTATGACGTTTTCCTCGACACTTTGAAAACTAAATTTCCACAGAAGAACTTGAATCTTTTACCCTTCCTCAATCACGTTGCAGAGCAAATAAAAAGCACTAGTAAACGCGAGGATCATCAATCATCAAGTAGCATTTGTTTGGGATTTTTAGCGTCTTATTTGTCCCAAAGAATCAAGCAGAAAAATGACAAAAACGATTTACATGATGCCTGTGCGTCATGGAAAAGTTGCGGTGAGTGTTTGTCATTTGGAGGAAAAGGCAACTGCAGTTGGTGTGGAGAATCGTCAAAGTGCATTCAGAAAATGAACATGTCTGCTTGTCAACCTCTTAAGCATATTACAAACCTTCCATGTCGTAACCCATGTTCAAATCACTCGAATTGTGAAGAATGCATGCAGAATTCTGGTTGTGGTTGGTGTTCATTCGATAAAGTGCACCCCAGTACGAGTGGGTTCTGTACTGAAGGAAGCAAAAATGGACCACTTCAGCCTGGCTTCTGTAACAAACAAGACTGGTTTACAGGTCAATGTGGTCGCAACTGTTATACAGATAACAAATGCAGTGGAAGTTTTGGAAAGTGTAGGTCTGGGAAATGTACTTGCGTTACAGGTTATTACGGCCCTGAGTGTTCCAAAATGGGATGCATTTATAGAATTGGTTTCAAAGACACTGCAGATTCCATTGCCAGATTATTTCACATTAAGCTAGAAGACCTGCCTTCTCACGATGATGGGAGATTAATACTGGCTCCTAACGCTGTCATTACGATTCCAGTATCAAACACCAACAAATTGTGCCTCAATCATCCCAAAAAAGCAACATTTCATCCATTTTTCCCAAGGCTGCTACGTGGGTCCAAAAATCTTGTCAACAAGAACAGCTACTGTGGCCTTTATGGGTCACTAGCGAAAGAAGATGACAGCTTGTTCTGCAAAAATGTAAGTGATGAGGAACAATGTAAAACTTTATCACAATGTACGTGGAACGCCATTGATCCCTGCACTGGAGTGCCTGTTGAAGGATGTAATACTCTAAGTACTACAACGCAACTGTTGGTTCCTGACAATACTTCAATACCTTCTCCTATCTCTGGAAATATTGAGACCGGCAAGGATTTTGTCTTGATTAGTGGATGGCCAGGCTCTGAGTGGGAAAACTGTGTAATAAACATTTCACATATAAGACCGCTGAATATTACGAGTGTACAGGCAGGTGGCATCTTGGGGTTCGGAGCGTTGGAAGGGAACCCAATATTACCAAACTACTTCGAGGTAACATTAACACGAGAAGGTACCCCAAGAAATCCCGAGGAATATCTATTACCATGTGCTTTGGGTYGTGTTCAGCTGCATGACTTGGGAAATGGAATATGCGACACAAGGTGTAATGTATCTGAATGTAATTTTGATGACGGGGACTGCCTCGACCAATCAACTTTTAGAAGACAAATACAAATGACACAAAATATGCAGTTTGAAATTTTCACTGACAAAAGTTGGCATGTACTATACAAACTGTTCAAAATGACAAGAGAGGATAAAATAGAAATTACAAGAGGAGCACTCAGTGTTTTTGGACTTTCGGGGGGCATAGTATCAGAAATGCTAGTATCATCAGCATTAACAAGTCCAATGGTCTATAGTAAGTACAAAGCAACAATGACAAAACATTTCAATGCTCTCCTTACTAAAAATTCCACCAAAGGTCAAATGATTGTGGCACTGGCTCAACAGATAACTGAAATTGGATCAGAAGCTTCCTCTTATCTAACACCAAATGAAGAAAGCCAAACAATTGATATTAACACGAAATCGCTGAAAAACCCTAAAGAATTCGAAGTAGCGCTACAGGTTCTTCAAAGATATGAACAACTGATATATGTCAAAGTAGATAGTAACTTTTCTACAGGCTCGTTTTTCCATTTAGAAATTGCACAGGAAGAGCATGACGATTTATGTACMCAATATCAATACAAAATTCAAAGTTACGAAAACAAATGTGATGGAGTTCTTTCCTGCTATGGTCATGGTATATGCAGCGCGCATGGGTCATGTTTATGTGATACAGATTATGAAGGTATTGACTGCAAGACTAGTAGATGCCCTAACAATTGCTCAAGCCATGGTGCTTGTATTCATGGTCAGTGTGTCTGCGAACGTGGATGGAAAGGCAACGACTGTTCTACAGTTAAACTCTGCACGGCCTCGTGTTTGGACATTTGGATTGGTGATGGGACGTGCGACTCCAACTGTAATACACCTTTGTGCGAGTTTGATGGAAACGACTGTTTGAATGTTTGCACTTGCCCAAAGCCATGGTTAGGTGACGATACGTGTGATATGTCCTGTAATACAACCATTTGTGGCTATGACAAAGGAGACTGTGTCAAGGAAACTGAATGTAGTCAAGGATGCAAGTCATCTATGGTAGGAGATGGTTTCTGTGATCGTGAATGCAATTTCGAGAGCTGCTCCTTCGATAACGGAGATTGCGAAATGAAAGAATCTTGTAGCTGTGACTTAACATTACAAGGTAACGGCGTTTGTGATAAAGAATGCAATACCAAGGAATGCTTGTTCGATTTTGGGGACTGCGTTACCGAGTTTCAAGTTTCCAATTTGTGTCCGAACGAATGTTTACCTTCTATGGTCGGTAATGGTTTCTGTGACTTGATTTGCAATGTGTCTGCCTGTGGTTTTGATGGACAGGACTGCCTCAAACATGAGAATGAAATAAAAAGTCCCTGTAGTCCTGGCTGCCAATCTTTGTTCTTGAAAGATGGCTCTTGCGATTCAGTCTGTAATGTAAAAGCATGCAATTACGACGAGGGAGACTGTCCAAAACCAATAGTGGAAATGTGTCATACAGGATGTACGATGGCTATGGTTGGAGATGGAAAATGCCAAACCGAATGCGTTGTATCCCAATGCTCTTACGACGCAACTGATTGCGAATGCGCTCCCGGATGTCCACATTCTTCCATCGGGAATGGAAAATGCGAACCTAATTGTTTGACAGCTTCATGTCTTTATGACAGACAGGATTGTACTTGTCCTCCAGAAAATTGTCCAGAAGAAATAATTGGAGATGGAATCTGCAATGAACAGTGTAACAATCGAATCTGCAATTTCGATGGTGGTGATTGCAACTGTGTCCCTGGCTGCTCGATAAATTCTGTCAATGATGGTTGGTGTGATAAAGAATGCGACGTCAAAAAGTGCAGCTATGACGGCCTTGACTGTGGTGGATGCCGAAGCGATTCTCATTTCAATTTATGTGACCAAAATGCAGAATGCATTACTGTAAACGACTCACTACCTTTCATAAGATGCCAATGTAAACCAGGTTACTATGGAGACGGATATCAGTGCTTTGAGCAAGGGAAATGCTTTAACAGAAGTGAGGTTTGCTCCAACAATGCCAAATGCGTAAATATGAGTGGAAAGTTTGAATGCTATTGTGATAAGGGCTGGAGAGGTAATGGGTTGTTTTGCGAGAACATCGATGAATGTACTACCAACCAAAACAACTGCAGCAACAAAGCTGTATGTGTTGACACATTGGGAAGTTATACCTGTAAATGTCTGGAAGGATATTCAGGGGATGGATTGAACTGCTATGATATTAACGAATGTGAAGCTCGGTTACATACATGCCGTGGAAATGAAAAGTGCGTCAACACGATTGGGAGCTACAATTGTGTCTGTGAAGAAGGTTGGGCAGAGGCGAATACTACCAACACTGAAGAAACCAAAAATGTAACAAATAAGTTATCGTGTACTTGGATCGCAAATCCTCCTCATTTTGTAAAAGAGAACTGCATTGATGTTGATGAATGCACTGAAGAGCTAGACAACTGCTCAAGAGTTAACAGAGTATCAAATGCTCAATGCGAGAACACTATCGGTGGGTTTAATTGCACGTGCAACGCAGGCTGGAGAGGTGATGGATGGTTTTGCACAGATGTGGATGAGTGTGATTATAATGATACTTGCGGTGAAAACCAAGTGTGCAGAAATACTCTCGGGAGCTTTCTCTGTTCTTGTAAAAATGGATGGATCTTTAATCAAACGGGAAGTGGCGAATGTGAAGATATAGACGAGTGTGCCCTTGGAATTAACAAATGCAGTGAATTTGCAACATGTAAAAATACCAATGGAAGTTATCACTGCAGCTGTCGAGATGGTTTYGAAGACATTGGCAAAACTTGCACGAACTATAAATGTATAAACTCATCAGCGACCATGCCTAACACAACCGTCAGTAACATGACCAGTGACGTTGAGGCTAACGAAGTTTGTTCGTGTATAGGCAGTTACCGTAACGTGGGAAGAGAGTGTGCAGATATCGACGAATGTATCTGGGAAACATACGACTGCCCGGCATATGCCCCTGTGTGCATTAATAATTTGGGAGGTTATGAATGCCATTGTGATGCAATAAACAACAGCACGTGCGAGGTGTTTAATCCGTGCACAGCTGAAAATAACACTTGCGGAGCTAACATGACATGTGTTGTCTCTGGTCTTGATCACTACTGTGTCTGCCCCATCGGTTACATTGAAGACCCAAGTGGCGCCAACTGTGTGGATAGAGATGAATGCCTTAGCCCTGAAAAGTATAAATGCCCAGACAATGCTGAATGCGTGAATACGCCAGGTTCATATCAGTGCAAATGCCAAGAGGGTTTCTTTGACATTGGAGGTAGCTGCTTTGAGATTAACGAATGTCATGCCACCTTGACTCAACGCATTGACGGTCGTCTACAAGAATGCAAGCATGGGATATGCGCATCTGAGCTAGCGTGTATATACTACACATTTTCCAATAACAGCCAAACAACAAACAGTAGTCTTGTCTGTGCATGTAATCAAGATGACTCCAAAACACTCGACTGCGTGGATTCTCAATTAAATGTCGAAGCAGACAGCGCAAATAGAACAGTGACTGTATTGACGTTTCCTTGGCATTCCATGTTCAACTCGACCAATTCAAGTAGCCCAGTACCTCCCATGTTCATACATAACTGTTCTGCATCAATATCTGGATGTGAAAATACTCTAGGTTCTTATAAATGCATATGCAATCCAGGTTACTATAGCAACGATTCTAGAAACTGCCGTGATGAGGATGAGTGCAAGCTCAATGGCACATGTCATTCAAACGCTTCCTGTAATAACACCATTGGTTCTTTTGAGTGCTCTTGTAATCAAGGTTTCAGAGGAGACGGAAAAACAAACTGTACTGACATAAATGAATGTATGCTGGGAAACTATAGTTGTCATGAGAATGCTACTTGCCTTAACATTGAAGGAGGATATATTTGTCGCTGTAAAGGGGGCTACCAAGGAAACGGCACATTCTGCGAGGATATTAATGAATGCGTCAATAGTTCAATGAATAACTGTCATCCTAGAGCGGTGTGTAGGAACAATGCTGGTGGGTATGATTGTGAGTGCACCAAAGGCTACAGTGGAAACGGGTTTAGGTGTACTGATATTGATGAATGCAACAATGGAAGCCAACTTTGTGGTAGTCACGCAACGTGCTACAACATTCCTGGCACATATATCTGTAAGTGTGACCAAGGTTGGACTGGAGATGGGCAAAACTGTACTAATATAAATGAGTGTCAACTTGGCATGCACTCATGTATTGAAAACTCACAGTGTCAAGACTATGATGGAGGGTATGTGTGTACGTGTAACAAAGGATGGGCGCGACAATGGTTTGAGCCCTATGGAAGGTGCTCAGGGTGCGATTCAAATGAGATTTGCTCTGGTCACGGACAGTGCTTGCGAGATGGATCATGCGATTGTTTTTCGTACTTTGGAGGAAATAACTGCTCTTTCTGTGATCCAAATGTACGATGTAGTAGTCACGGGACATGTGACATTAACGGAACTTGCTACTGTGAAATTGGATGGACGAGAAAGCCACTTGACTGCAGTGTTTGTGTACCAGAAGAGCTATGCAGTGGTCATGGACAATGTAACTATGATTTGACAACATATTCCAATACGACATGCTACTGTAACGTTGGATACACTGGACAAAACTGCAGCAATGGTAGGTTGATGTTTGTTAAATGCTTACAATTTCGGTAACTCAATATTTAGTGCCACAAAACTGTTTTATAGGTCATATAAGACCCCTTAACATTAATTCCAAATCTGGGAGACAAAACAAAAGAATCCTCTTCTCTTGAGAATCGAAATCTTTTTTCATGTTACTTATTTTCATTGCTTATAGCCCCCAGGGTTTTTTAATTTCTTATTTCTAATCTTTGGTTTCAATTTTATTTATTTATTTATTTATTCATTTCTTGTTTGCTCGTTATGTTTTGTTTTTGCTTGGTGTTTTTATTTTTTGAAGATTCTATAATAATAATAATAATAATAATTTATTACTTATAACGCGCAAATTAGCATGTGTATATGATCAAATGCGCGTAAGAGTGAATATATGCATAAAAGTGAAATGAATGGGGTAGCAAGAAAACTTGCATGTGCGCACATTAAAAAAATCGATAAAACAAAACGATAAATCTTGAGAAACAGATATCGTATCTTTCTTTTAGCTTGTCCCATAATTGGTGGTGAAGTCTGCAGTATCCATGGTGATTGCCCTAATAATCCTCCAGACCCTTTATCTCCTTGTATCTGCCATACGGGATATCAATGGAATAGCTCTGCATCTTCCTGTGTTGACGTAAATGAGTGTACCGCTGGCTTGCATGACTGCGTTGCTCCCGCCATTTGCGTGAACACTGAAGGATCATATCGCTGTAAATGTCCTTCTTTGATTGGCTGGTCTTTGATTTGTGGTCGGTTTTGTAATGATACTGATGAATGCCAGTATACAGACGTGTGTGACATCCATGCTACTTGTCACAATTATCCAGGAGGATACAGGTAAAATCTCATGACTGTCACACACTCTAGCGTTACGCAAGGCGTTAATTTCTGTTGCTCAGAATTATTTTTTTCCAGTTAAGTAAAATAACGCTGTGTTTTTTAGTAGTCTCATTTACTCAAGGTTAGACTCATTTTAGGTTCAAAATATTCACAAATACCACAACAATAAAGTAAAGAATGCAAAACTTCAACAACACAAACACTTTGAATTTCCACTACCATCCGAAACGTCAGTACGTTTTTTCACTTTTTCATCTTTTCACGGTGTAAACTTTTACCCTCTTATGATATCATTACTGTTTCATTAGAAACACCGACGCAGCTCACACTAGTTTTTAGCTAGTTTTCTCATCCTATTATAACTGGAAGACATGGAGTTAAATATCAAGGCTATCCCTGAACAACAGAGTATTTGAAACTGAAATATTAGCCTCGATTTATTTATGAAATATTCAACAACGATATAAACAACAAATGACCTTAAATTTGTCGAGCTTGCATTCATCTGCACTTCGCTGATAATAAGCAATTATTGGATGAGGTTGAGCATGATATCGTAAATTATCAAGACCGAGTCTGTGTTATCTGCCGAAGCCGAAGGCTTCGGCAGATAACACAGCCGAGGTTTTGATAATTTACGATATCATGCGATAACCGAATTCAATAATTGCTTTATTATACATTTTGTATACTGGAAAAACATTAACATAAACATTAAATTATAGAGACATGAAATATGAACGCCATGATGTCGCGTGAAAAACGCAAAATTTTTATTTGAAAATATTTCAATAATTCTTCACAAAATATATGAAAATAAGTTAATAAAAATTTCTTAAATAATTGTTTTTGTACATAATACTGAAGATAAATACAAATTCTGAATAAAAACGTTATGTAAACTGAGAAATTTATAAGTTATGTAAGCCTAAAGGATACGACAACAACAACAAAAATGTCGCCGGAGTGAATGAAAC